TCCGAATGGATAGATCCAGTTGACTAGATTTATTTTTACACACACACGTCAGTTACATTTTTCCTCTTTTCATCTTCTCTCTTTTCATCCTTCCCTGCCCACGCAATTAACGCGATGTAACGTCTATAGTACTATACTCCAGGCGGAAGTTGCTCTCTGATGAACGGGATTTCAATTGCTCTGATGCACAGCTTTAACAGTACCTAAATATCGACAACACACGGCACAAAAACGCCGTCACAAAACTACGGATCAGCTGCCATAAACTACACATTGAGACCGGTCGACATAACCGCACTCCCCTGGAACAACGTATTTGTCGATACTGTAACCTAGATAGAATAGAAGATGAACTTCATTTTGTAGTAGAATTTAGTTTGTATAACAGTGCGAGAATTGAACTTTATAGACGGATAACATCGATGTTTCCCCACTTTACACACCTAAGTAATACAGACAAATTCACATTTTTAATGAACTTAGACAAACCCCCGATCCTTGAACTTGTATGTTCTTATCTTTTCAACATCACAGAGAAGCGAAGAGAAGTCAAAATTATGTAACAGACTGTAGTGCTAGTACTAGATTGATCTTGTTTGTGTATATATTTGTGTATTCAAGTTAACCTTTGTACCTAACCCAGTGGGTATGTTTGTACAATAAAGGTCTTCATTTATTCATTCAGTTAAAGGCATCCAGTACAATTTCAAGGGAGGCAAGACAAACTTACGAACCTATTAAACAAATATGGCACATTGTAAATCTCCCATGACCAACCCTATCAAGATTAGTTCTCATGTAACATACTATAAAATTATTATTTTTTTACTGATGATATTGATTTATTGGTTGATGTTATGAATATTGTTAAGCTCATTTTACGCACTTATTTAGTTGTCTATATGTTAACTGTGAAATACTCACTTGTTTAGTTGTCTATTTGTTAACTGTGTAATATTTATTTCTCTGTTGTTAACACTAGCATACAATTTAGCGCTACTTTTTTAGTTGTGCTGGCACATGCTAGAGATTGTGCTCATCGATCAATCAATAAACAATTATTACAAACATATGGATGAGAAAATCTGTCCAATATTCACCTTTTTGCCATCTTTTCATACTCCAAGCGTTTAAAATAGACCCAAAACAAAATACGTTATGCGTCTTTTCATTTTGTGGGTACCACTCGTAAATAGCTAGAGCTAGCTTATGATACAAAATATTAAACCATTTTCCTTCAGTGACATCGCAATTTTGCCTCACAGATATCAGTAAATCACTTATTAAACTTATTATTACATTGAAAGGACGGACAGAAACTGACTCTGAGAATCCAGTTTTGTCGCCTTGAAATTGCATGGAATGCCTTTAAAGCAGCCTAATGTACAGCAAGTTAGTTTTGTACAATCCAACGCAATATCTGCAAAGCCTAACTTTTCTTACAAAGAGCAAACCTTTCATTTTATCAATTTCGAAACCTTTTAGCCCTGTTAGGCTAGTCTTCCAAGGCTCAAATGTACTTACAGTAAAAACCAATTCAAACCTATACATTTTTCAATAATTAGCAAGAAAAACACACATATCTACATACTAAGGGACAAAACAACACACATACATTTAAAAAACATAAATGAATGTCGCAAAATTGGCAAGAAACACACAGCTACATCTACATGCCATAATTTTAAAAAGTAGATTTTACACCTAACCCTTGAACTTCTAACTCTAGACATTGTTTAAAGCTATCTAATGACAATGCCCATACTGTACTTGGGGACAATGAGTTCCGTCAATCCTTGGTTGATAACTCTGTTACTTGAAGGCATGGCTATTTCTTGTTCTCTTCTGGGCTGGTATTAGGTACTTAATAGTTGGGATGTCCACCAATTTATTAGTCATTTTGTACATCATGCATAGTCTGGACATTTTTGGAAACTAGCTTTTGTGAGCCTGGGCGACAATGATGAACAGAACATCACCCACGCTATCCCGGAAACGATTTAGAGGGTCATTGATTTTATTTACGTCATGGAACTCGAAATCACACAGAGATGGTGCTTCAATGGTCGACTTATCTGAGTACATCGTGTGGGTAATCGGCTTACATCTCGTTGAAGGTAAACACAAAGTTGACTGTCAATTCATCACAACCACCGGTCACGAAGAGTATTTTACTCATGTGCTCTCTCTCTTGATACCGTGTTCGTCTTTGGTCTCTTTATTGATCAGGCAACAGCATGTAATTTTTATGGATAACATCAGAGCACGCCTGATTTCGAAAAAAAAAAGAAATTTTGTTGGCCTTTGACGGTGGTCAACATGCCAAACTGGACAAATACTCGTAAACGTCTATCGGTTCAGAGACCATTAGCGACCCAGCAAACTTGTGTCACACTTGCTCGCGTTTGATGGCAAGTGCCCGACGTGTTCCATCGCACATGAATACTAGTACATATACCCAGTGTAGTATCTACCGATGGACAGGTAATATTGTTAAAAACGGAAATAGAAGACCTTTTCTTTGTAAAATCATGTTTTGTCGCGTCAATTCTTGCTCAACAAGGTTAATGATGAGAATATTTGAAAATGCACGAATGTTTTGTTGTTTTTGCCCGCCTTGTTTTTGTAACCCTATCGCATTATTTTTTTTAGTCTGCGGAGGATGTCATCCATAAAGTTTACTTGCTGTGACCCTACGCAGGCCTTGCTTTCTGCCAGATATCTGCCTGGTTATCTTGCTTGAATAGACATTTGATAGGCATCATCAGCGTCACAGGATTTTCCCTACGGGTTTTTCTCTATCGATGTCGCGAAAGCGAGCCATGCATAGCTTTCATGCACAGTTGAATTGAATACATGTCAGATATAAAAAGACTCTAATGCATAGGCTATCTATAAGAATTGATTGTGCCCATCATGAGGGTGATACATTCTGCATTCTCACATGTAAGTGAGTTAATTAACTAGGAGGATAAAGACTATACTCAATTTAAGAAAAAAAGCTCGGTCTCTGAAAGCTGATTCCATCATGTCAGAAATACATTGAGCTAGCCGTTAGCCAGTCAAATGCAACAACAAAAAAATAAAAGCGAAAGTCAGAACTGAAATAGCCAGAACAGGAATGGCTTGGCATCCGTTGATTATACACCAAAAGATACCACGGACAGACACCAAAGATATATTTGTGTTTGTAACATAGGTGCCGATCGTTCAGTACCATGGACAGACACCAAAGATAGCCTTGTGTTTGTAACATATGTGCTGATAGCTCAGTACCATGGGCAGGCACCAAAGATAAAATTGTGTTTGTAACATAGGTGTCGATGGTTCAGTACCATGGACAGGCACCAAAGATAAAATTGTGTTTGTACCAAAGGTGGCGATGGTTAAGTACCACGGAAAGACAGCAAAGATAAAATTGTGTTTGTAACATAGTTGCCGATGGTTCAGTACCATGGACAGGCACCAAAGATAAAATTGTGTTTGTAACATAGGTGCCGATGGTTAAGTACCACGGACAGACAGCAAACTTTTTAAGATAAAATTGTGTTTGTAACATAGGTGCCGATGGTCCAGTACCACGGACAGGCACCAAAGATAAAATTGTATTTGTAACATAGGTGCTGATGGTTCAGTACCACCGACAGACAGCACAAAGATAAAATTGTGTTTGTAACATAGGTGCCGATGGTTCAGTACCATGGACAGGCACCAAAGATAAAGTTGTGGTGTAACATAGGTGCCGATGGTTCAGTACCATGGACAGGCACCAAAGATAAAGTTTTGGTGTAACATAGGTGCCGATGGTTCAGTATCATGGACAGGCACCAAAAATAAAATTGTGTTTGTTACATAGATACCGATGGTTCAGTACCACGGAGAGGCTTGTTTGTACCAAAGGTGGCGATGGTTAAGTACCATGGACAGGCCAAAAGATAAAATTGTGTTTGTAACATAGGTGGCGATGGTTAAGTACCACGGACAGACAGCACAAAGATAAAAATTGTGTTTGTAACATAGGTGCCGATGGTTCAGTACCATGGACAGGCACCAAATATAAAACCGTGGTTGTAACATAGGTGCCGATTGTTCAGTACCATGAACAGGCACCAAATAAAAAATTGTGTTTGTAACATAGGTGCCAATGGTTCAGTACCATGGACAGACAGAAAAGATAAATTTTGTTTGTAAGCATAGGTGCCGACGGTTTAGTACCATGGACAGGCACCAAAGATAAAATTCTGTTTGTAACATAGGTGCCGATGGTCCAGTACCATGGACAGACACCAAAGATAAAATTCTGTTTGTAACATAGGTGCCGATGGTCCAGTACCATGGACAGACACCAAAGATAAAATTGTGTCTGTAAGCATAGGTGCCGATGGTCCAGTACCATGGACAGGCACCAAAGATAAAATTGTGTCTGTAAGCATAGGTGCCGATGGTTCAGTACCATGGACAGACGACAAAGATAAAGCTGTGATTGTAACATAGGTGCCGATATTTAAGTACCATGGACAGACACCACAGAAACAATTGTGTTTATAACATAGGTACCAATGGTTCAGTACTTACATTTGTCAGTGTTATAGAAAATCGCCGTATGGGAGCTTAGAGCTGCATTATCTAGCGTTAGTACGATACAAAATGTCAATTGCCCGGTCATTTCTTTCCAAGTTGAATCAATCCTACTGCATGCATCGTAGTGTCATTCGGGAAGTGGGGGTACCAAAGTATGATATAAGCTGTTATCCATGTTTGCTTACATTCTGGTAGTTTGTGGTGGTACCACAAACTAGTTTGTGGTGGTAGTGCGCCTTGTGTAGGCCGTTATAGGGGCTGGGATAACCATAAATGTGGAATAATTGCAAACATATGTTGAAAAGTAAAATACAAAGAAATATTTCCCCAAAAATTCAATTTTTGGTGTATAAATATTACATAACGCCCCTTTAAACAGCTTATGTCTTTAATGGTATTCAATATATTAGTCGTCTTACCTTAAAGAGCCGTAGAATGTTGGCCACGTTGACGGAGACTGAACTGGAGGCTGCCCCGATGACGCCCACGACGGGCCGGCGGGGCTTCTTGAATGCCGGCGCGCCGTCCTTACACACGGCGTCCCTGACGGACGCACCGGTGGTGTCCGGGCCATCATAGACCGACCGGTCTTTGATGAAGAACGTCATGGCTTTACCGAGAGCGTGGGTATCGCTGGAGCAGGTGTCCAGGACGTGTGCGCCCAGAGTCACCCCTGGCAGGAGCGTGTCGTCCCGGTTGATCTTGTCGATGGCGTACAGCATTGCCTCCATCCGCTGTACACCGGCTTCTTCCTTCACCTCCCCGCAGCCCACCCCGTTCGGGCCGCGGCTGTGCACGGGAAACAGCCCGCCGAGCGTTATGTTACCGTCCAGAATAACGCTTCCTTCCTCAGTCAGTACCGCGCGGCATGCTACTACGCCTAAAAAAGCTACTACCAGAACCGCCCGTGCCAATGTCATCATCGCAGACGAGGAAACAACGATCTCTCTGTCAGCCATCTCGTAGTGCAACTGATAACGAGAGAGTTTGGCACGGGGAAAGCGCTGAGCGCTGATTGGAAAGCCTCGTGTTTGATCTCCCGCGGGGCACTTGATAATGAAGGCTTTTCCAGAGCGCGGCGATAGGACGGTTCCAGTCTCTTGTCTTGAAACTCGATAAGCAAATAAAGCTCAGAGTGTGGAGATGATGCTTTTCTGAATTCGAAGAGAGATGTAGCACTGTAACACTTGCTTTGCCCGTGCATATGCTATCCAAGCCTGTATGATATGCGAGGTAGAGTCAAAATACTGAATACAGAACTGCGGTATAAAGGAGGCTATATATATATACCAGGGCATCCCAGCCACCACTAAACAGAGACGGCGGACGATATAATCTCCATTGCTAACCTCTCGTTTTCGTGAAGTCTCGCGTGATTTAAGGTCACGTGTCTGTAACTGCTACTCTCGCGGGATTACGTTCGGTGTGGTTGTGTGATTGGTCATTACTTATCCTGATGAAGGCGAATATTCGTGGTCGTTGAAAATTTGATCCTTGTGTACCTTTTGTGTTGGGATAAAGTTTAGCACCGAACTGTGATATGCGAAGCAATCACAGAGGTCAACCCTGGTGCATGATTTTAAATCTACAGAACAATTTAACATTAGGACGATACCAAAAGTCAATTATCTGGTCATTTCCTTACAAAGCAAGTTGAATCAACAATACTGTGCCATTTGGAAAGTGGAGGTTTCAAAATATGACGCCTTATGAGTGTGTTGAAAAGCTGGGAACAAAGCTGTCAGCCATGTTTGTTTACATTTTTTTTGAGGTGGCACCAAAATCTGACTGCGCCTATTTTAACGCCAACCATAAATATCAGAAATGTGAGATAACTGCACAGATATGTTGAAAAGTGGAAGTAAATTACCATCACACGAAGTCTTTTTTTAATGTTCCATAACCCCCCTTTAAACTAAACTAGTGGAACTATGTACGTAAATATTTATTTATTTATTTTTATTTATTTATTCATTCAAAATTGTAATGTAACAATAAGAGTGCACTGGGCAGCAAGTATGCTGATAGCGTGCACACCTACACAAAATGAACAAATACAAACATTACATGTAACATTGGGCAGGAAACAATAATGAAAAGTTAAAAATAATACATAAGTTACGTTATATAGAAAACACACTAGTATTTATAGAAATTTTTTTAGCAATTCGGCATTTAGTGTGGCTCAGCTGGAAGAGACCTGTTATATGGTAGACCGTACCAAATAAAAATAGTAACCCCTAAAAAGGGGTGCACAAAACGATGAATAAACCGCTCTGTTGGATTTAAAAAATGAACGTGTGCATATCTTTTACGTACGTAAATATCACATATACATACGAGTAACTGTTGAGAAAATTGCTAGTGGGAGGAAAGGTCAACATCCTGCAATTTGAATGCATTGTGACTGGTTGTGCTTGTTGCGTGACGTGTACATAGAATATTATATAATAATTGTAAATAAAACTGTACGGTTTATGTGTCACGACACACTGCGTATATACACACTCTGAGAACTCATCTGATAAGCTCGTATCAGGTTGTATACAGGTATCGAGATACCTGCTTGCGATAACGTCAATCAGATAAACCAATCGCATAAGGGGAATTCATATTTCAGAAAAGGATCAAAATACCCTCTACCTTTGTAGGGCCACAGCAAGTCATTTTTATGGTTGACATCAGCACGCGAATTAATTTTCGCCTGATTTTGGAGAAAAAAAAACAAGAAATTTTCTTGCCCTCTGACAGTGGTCAGCATGCCAAAAATGGGCAAAGATGTTTGTTATGAAAAACCTAAACTTTTCTCCAACTCAAAATTTGACTCACCAGAAATTTTCGACTGAATCACTCAGTCTTCCTCAGCTATCTGACCCAAATGCTGTGGACACGTGGTTTTTCCCACGTGTGACGTCAGCAAAGGGTCAAAGGTTGTCTGAAGTCAATATCGCCCCCGTCCCGGTTGAGCGATGGTTGAAGTGCCCTGATGTATATGGCCTCTTTTATGCCTCTCTTGAAGTAATCCTGTTCGGTATGCAAGATTCTGACCCCCTCCAGATGTTTGTTGCTATGCCGGAACGCGGATGGCAGATAAATATGAAGACAAGGTTCTGATTTATTTTCTCGTCTTTTACTTGATGTAGTGATGTACTTTATTCCCTTCATAAATTATATATGATGTTCCCACTGAACCAAAGCCATTTGTACAATGACTAAAAAATTATTTTTAGTGACAAATGAATGTTGTAATAGTTGGCAGTAAACTTAGCACAATATAGTTATCATTTCTTGTTTAACAAGCCTTAAGGTTTTCTGATGTCAAAATTTGAAAAGGTAAGAATCTTGTTTTTCGGGCCCTCCTTGTTTTTTTGCCCTATCGCAATAGATTTGCAGTCTGCGGAGGATGTCATCCATAAAATTTACTTGCTGTTGCCTTATTTCATACAAGGACAAGAGGGCATGCAGCAAAATATGCTTGATGTTGAGAAAATGAGATTTTTAGTTCGATTGGACAGAACAGATAGTTATGTAAAATGTCGACAGATCCAGGAATGAAATAGAAAGTTTCCGTGAATAGTTTCATCAGGTTTGTAAGACTCTGAGTAAAGAGACTCTTTTTACACAACCAAGTCTTTTATTCAGCCGACGGTCACCGAAACGTCGGCTGAATAAAGAAATTCTCTACATAATTGATATCTGAGTCTCTTTACTCTAATACCAATTATGATATCATCTTGTGCTTTGAGCTCATATGTTCAGCGATTTTTTTTTCAAAATTATACGTACCCACGTGATTTTGTACGGTCTTATGTAATATGTTTTGAACATAAGGTAACAAACAAAGCCATTGAGAAAACCAGACGATCTATGACACATAAAAGCTACACTTTAATATAATTCCATACAGGACACGCCTTGTAATCTTGACTGGATCATGTTAGATGTATAATACTAGTATGAAAGGTCAAATATATATTAGTAAGTAGAGGTGTTATGAATTAAACTGTTACGCACAGCACAGCAAAGATAATAAGCATCATCCCGGACATTGATTGAGTATTTCCTCGTGGTCATAGTCCCTTGGCTATTTAATTAGATACGTACCAAATGAATTAAGTTCAATCTACAGGCGGGCCCGAAGACGGCGACCCCAATTGGGGATCATGTGCATGTAACAAGCTTCAGTCTTTTAGAGAGCAAATCCTTCAAGTTGTTTTAGTTTCAGACCAAATAATTAATTTTCACTCTTGAAATCTTTGTCTTGGGTGGTATTGAATTAGGCCACATTGATTTAAGTTTATGGATGACATCCACGCGCGCATTGTTTTTGGCTAACAACAAAAAAATCACCTCCGATGAGGCTCTGGCCTGGGTGCCATCCTCCATGGTCCACGGTAGCTATAGCTTGCGACAATAGGGAGCTGGCGCTCCACGGAACTCAAGAAAGTACAATGCCGACTCATAAATGCCACAAAAGGCCAGCATTTGTCGGCTTTTTTACCGCAAATTTACAATACCAGCTTTGTGGTTTAGCAGCATTTTATTCGCTCGCGCGCACTAGTTTGGGGGGTCTTCAGAGAATGCCATCCATAAAATGAAGTCAGTGTGGTCTTACTGATAATTTGTGTGGATAAAACACGGGGAATCCAGACGTACCCGCTGAGTTAATGAATAGTCCCGCGGTAAATGTGGTTTTCCTTGCGAAGGTAAGCTAATTTTCGCAGCGCCGCATATCACAGGCGCCGCGATGGCTGCGGATCTACCGTGCCATCCCAGGGATACCATCAGCCTGACAGACTTCAGAGCTGAATACAAATCGTCTTGAATATTAAGGCGTTTTCTAATCACGGTCTTTAGTGCTGCTCTCAGCACGCCACTGCTCGGTAATAACACTTGTTCGCGGAGTAATTTTCGCGGACCGTTTCTCCTCAGGCACCCGTAAGCTTCGAAAATGATCCTCGCTTCGCGATGCCTTTCGGCTTGAACTCTACCGCATCTACGTACCGTGGCAGCTTGGCGACTCTAATTCGCCAAGTGCTATCAGTTGTTTCCGCCTGGACTGGGCTTACTAAATGTTTTGAGGTGTGTATGGGGTCTCTAGACATCTAAAAGAGCTACACACATTTCAAGTCAGGTCTCTGACAGCATATACATTAGTAATGGCTAAATTATCTGTTCGGTAGCAGTCTGTAACAGTAACTCTTATTCGCAAAGTGCTGTCAGTTGTTTCCGCCTGGACTGGGCTTACTAAATGTTTTGAGGTGTGTATGGGGTCTCTAGACATCTAAAAGAGCTACACACATTTCAAGTCAGGTCTCTGACAGCATATGCATTAGTAATGGCCAAATTATCTGTAACTGTAGGTATATGCCAGCCCCATAAGCTGTGGGAACAAGTGTATACATGATACACGACCAAGAAATTATGTTGCCCTTTGACGGTGGTCAACATGCCAAAAATGGGCAAATACTAGTGGTTCAGAGACCATCAGGGATTCAGCAAAGTAGAGGCACAATTGCTCGCATTTGATGGCAAGTTTGGACAGTCCAAGGTGCTCCATCGCACATGAATACCCAGTGTACCTCAACAATCATGAGGCAAAGTAAAATGGTCTAGAAAAACCCGTTGTTTGGAATAGCGGGAGGGAGTTCAAACTTCATGCAGATGTTTGGAGGGGTCAAAAAGTGGTACCAGACTTTTTGTCCCCATGCTTAAGGTATGAGGCCATTTTTGGAAGATGTTTGCAGCCAATTTAGTATAGCTGTATACCCATGATGGTACGGCAAGCTATTTTCTATCTTGCAAGTCGAGCTGTACAGAAACGATTTGGAATTCCTATACGTCCTAAATCCTCTGCATGATTGGGACATTCAGAAGAAGTATGTCAATAGCTGAACACATCTGCATGCATCAGTGTCTTCTGAGCGACGGC